TACTAATGTGTTTCATATTTAAAAAGTATTTGATCATGGTTACCTTTCTTCACTGTTTCTTACTATTAAATCTGTGACGAGTGTATTGAACTCTAAAAACTATAATCAGATCCTTATTAAAGATTTTCCTAAGTGCACATCTGCGCTTTGCGCATTAGCATGCGGGCTCGACCCCGCCCACACCGGCTATCGTCCGCAAATATATGTAAAATATGCACAAAAGTACCCCGGATAAAGTGCGCCGATAAGAGGCGACGCAATTTGCATTGCTCTGGGCCGCCGGCTAACATTCGGCCCTGTGTTTACCGAAAACTCGGCGAAATTTTGCGTCACCCGCTCACCGATTTTTATGGGTTTTAGGAAAACAATATACTTAATGTAACTGCACTTGATTACAGGATTTCTCTACAACTCCATTGAAATTGTAAATAAGAAAACTATCAATTTCATTAATTTTTTTTATTTGCCAATATGTTTATATGAAGAATCCCGCTTTCTTGTACTCGGTATTTCACCTTGCAATATTCTTTATAATGTCTAAGGTATATAATAATTTTGAAAGTCCTTATCTCTAAAGAAATTGAACACTATCCCATAAAAAAGTTATGGCGGTATAATAAAGCTATTTTAAAGATTGGTTTTATTATAGTTCTTTGTGTATAAGCGTGTGGGTTCATTGATATCATTGCTGTCATTATGGTTAACGCCCATTGCCTTCTTCGCACTTATTTCATGGTGTTCAGATTGTGCTGCTTTTAATTGGCTAGTACATAAATACTGTATGTTTAAGATTATTCAAAAAAGAAAACTCCTCTGGGAACCATACTTTTTAAAGATAAATATAGATTTCGTATTCTTAATAAAAATTGTTAAAAAATACATATTTTAGGATTTTTTGAGATAACCACAACACTCAGATCCAAGACAATGGAAAAGGTCCTTTTTCTACATTGATCCGACCGATAATTGAACCCAAGACCTTAGAGATGGCGACAACTTCTGGAGCTAATCAGAATAAAAAATATCTGTCTTTAGTATTTACATAGGTAGATAGTCAGTGAAAATGTTATCAAATGACGGGCGCGGTATTAGATTTTTCTATATTTTATTTTTAAACTCACACGATTTGTATACATTATAATTATATGCAATCGGGTCATTGTTTTAAAAAATGCACGAACAAGACCCGATTGCATATAATTATAATTTTCTATATTTTGTTTTATGTTTGTAATAAGTCCCTAGTGATATTAAAAACCTCTACAATATCCAACCTTACTTTCTTTGAATACAACAGGCATGGGGACGGCATCTTTCTACTGCAGACTGTCAGTGAAGATACAGTTTTGAAAGTTGTGAGGGGTTTTAAGTCGAACGCTCAAGGTAATGATGGCATATCTTTGGAAATGTTGCAACTGACCTTACCTCAATCATTGGAGACCATCACCATGATAATCAACAGATCGATAGAGGAATGCACTTTTCCGAAAAGTTGGAAGGTTGCGGTGGTAAGACCGATACCAAAAGTTGATCACCCAGAGTCAGTGCAGGACCTTCGGCCCATTAGTCTCCTCTCATGTGTTTCTAAGATTTTGGAGAGGATAGTCTGCAATCAACTAACTGAGTACTTAGAAGAGCACAATATACTTCCTCAATCACAATCTGGATTTCGGAGAGGGTATGGTACTGCAACTGCTCTAGCGGATGTCGTCGACAATCTCCTCACCAATCAAGACGATGGGATGATCAACGCCATGCTGCTGCTTGATTTTTCACGGGCATTTGATTCCATTAATACAACTCTACTATTGTCAAAGCTGTCATACTATGGGCTCCATGAAAAAACAGTAAAATGGTTTCATAGTTACCTTTCGCATAGGCAGCAGTATGTCGAGTTAACGAATGCAGATGGGTCAAAAATTCAATCATCTCAACTGCCTGTGGTGCGTGGCGTTCCTCAAGGGTCTATCTTGGGACCCATCCTCTATATTCTATATAGTGCTGACATCACGGCTCATATCCCAAACTGTTATCACCATTTATATGCTGATGATCTGCAATTGTTTCTACCATTTTTGCCAACGGATCATTCTGCTGCGGTGTCAAAGATTAACGATGATCTAGCTCATATAGCTGCTTGGTGCGAATCCAATTGCCTTACCCTGAACCCTAAAAAATCCAAACTAATTTTATTTGGCACTAAGAAAAAATTAACGAAATTTAATGATACTTGTGGTTCCTTCAACATAACTCTAAATGGAGAAAGATTAGATAGAGTAGACAAAGTCAGAAATTTGGGACTAATTCTAGACAGCCATCTTAACTTTCAACATCATGTTTCGGAATGTGCCAGAAATTGCTTTTATCGTCTCAAATTATTATATAAAATAAGGCCATATATAACTGAAGAGCTACGTATTCGATTATGTGAATCGCTTGTCCTCTCCAAGCTTAATTACTGTGACACGGTGTATGGACCATGTCTTCAGTCTGGAACCGCTAGACTCATACAACGTATACAGAATGCTTGTGCACGCTATTGCTTCCACATTCCACCTCGTTCTCATGTAACACCATATCTGAATGCCGCGAATTTATTGAGGATGGAGGCACGTAGGAAACTGCACTTAGCTACCATGCTGTTTGATGTTGTCAAAACAGGGAAACCGCATTACCTGTTCAATAAACTTGAATGGGCGCAGGAGCACAGCAGATATCCGAAAAGAGCTAAAACTCATCTCTTTTCAACCCCTAAGCATCGGACTACGGCCTTTCGCGGATCGTTTAGATATGCTGCCTCTAAGTGTTGGAATGATCTCCCTCCACCATTACGTGATCTAAAAACAAAATACGCACTTAGAAAATTTTTCAGAGAGTATCTTTTTATGTTGCAGAATCAATCTTTAATTATTAAATGAATTTACTTTCAACTTTGAGCTTTCTCACGAAACACTAGGCGTAGGTCAGCAGGCTCGATCTGTTTTTGTCTTTTAACCTTGATAATGCACACATTCGGCACGTCATTATTTCGTGTGATATCCGCAAAGGCATGTCCAATATTATAAACGTGGCAAACACGTGGCATCAAACGTGGCAATTTCAGCGTAAATACATGTAAGTTGAAACACAATTACGTAGGTAGGGATAAATGTTTTTCTCTTAAGATATGCATTGTTTCAATTGGAAAGTGACAGCGAGCGAGTGAGTCATAGTCAAGTCACTTATGTGTTATTTGGTAGTAGCTGGCTGAGGAATCATTCCCATATAGCCGTATTCGCAGTTTTTATTCTCTTTTCTTTCGACATTGGTGATTTGGGAGAGAATAGGTTATTTAAATATAATATATATCGTGTTATTGTTTATATATCTTAATATGCACATTATTATTTACTTTTTTCTTGTATATAATTTTTATTTTATTTTATTTTTAATGATGCAACTGTAAGGCTCCTATCAGAATAACAGCGCCCTTAGTATCATTCTGCCCATCTATGAACGATACTAGGGTCTTTGCTGAGATAGGGGTCCATCTTGGCCTCGCATATATTTTTTTTTTATTTTTCTCTTTTTTTACTGTATTCTTGTTAACGATTATGTATGTGGGTCAATAAATTTCTTTCTTTCTTCTTTCTTTCTCTAAAGCTTTCCCTTGTGCTATATGATATCGTTCCAATTACATGTATTAGTATTCAAGAAAGGATTATTCCTGCAGGGAGAGCACGCAACCACTAACAATTTCTCCTAAATTCACCACCCGAGGGCCCTATCTGCGTATTATTGCCTGATCGATAGTATAATTTTGTAATAACTACGCATGTTTCACATATTTTTTGGAAAAACTTACATCAGATAATCGAGGGAGAACTTTGAGTAATTTGAATTGATGTCCTTTAAAATTTTCATGAGCGTCATTCAATGTTTTCATTTTATGCAATTAAATTAAAATACCCCAGGATAAGTCCTAGTACGTACATAAAAAAACTATAAAATAGAAAAAAAACATGCCTGAAAATGAACAATCGCTCCGAAAAAAATTTATTGAATTATTTCTTAAAAAAGAATTGATAAGAGATTCAGTTATTATATGGTAAAACAACACTTATTACATTTTACAAAAATTACAACCAACAACTGACTACACAAATACGTTTCATGAAGTTTGCCTTACAATAAACAATATTTCATATTAATTAAAATACTGTAGGAACAAAATGTTAATTCCCTAATGTTTGAACTAATATATGATCCTGAAGATGAGGGGCAATGACTCCATTCAGAACACATAGCAACAATAAATATGCGCAAACGCAGCGCGCTCGTTAGCGCCCGGCGAGACCATCCTTTTTAAATGAATCAAACGTAATTAGGTTATTTTTCAAAGCATTACCCAAATATTTCATAAGATAAGAAACCCCGTATTATTATATTTATCTTCATAAATGTAATCTGTACGTTTATAAAATAAACCGGCAAAATATTTTGTTGCGTTATGAAATTATAAGAAAAACTAAAGGAGGACACGACGAGGCAATGCGATGGCTCAGTTGATTTTCTTGACGTCATAGTGAAAACAAGAACTTATCTGGATACAGCTGCTGGAAACAATATTACCAGTGCCAGTAAATAAATGAACTACACAAACGAAAATCACGCGCTCTGAATTTTTCAACGTCGCGTCCAATCTGCGATCGCGGGACGCCGCGGCGAGCACAAAGCTCTAACGATTAACGAACTGAAACGAAATGAGAGCATATCATTTTTATTTCGAGTCCTTGTTTTGTTTGATTTGAATAATCGACAGATAATGTGGCTTCGATTCTTTCTTTGTTTTTGAAATAACATTATCACGGAATTTGAATAATGTTTTTAAACCATGTAACGTCTTAAATAAGCTCATTCTCAGTCTATTCATGTTGGACAATCTTGACGCTCACTATGATCAACAAAACGCGCGAAAACAAACGACTCTTATAACGTGTCGGATATTATCTGCAATCTACCAATAGTTGAAACCACCAGTCATCGCTACGAAAAATAATAGCAATAGTAACAATGGAATTATAATGTCCGCTGCCAAAACGGTACAATAACAGCCGCTCGCAGGTGGTATCGGCGATTAATCGGTGGGCGATGCGCTCTCGATAATGACCGACGGAGAATCGATGTCGCAACTCGCTCGCCGATTTCGGTTTGCCTTCGGTCATCTCTAACGATGGAGCGATAATTAAGATCGGACGTCGGCATTATTTACGCCCGGAGCGTCTCGGCTGACCCTGTGAGTCGGTCACGACTTTTTCCATGTTGGGTGATACTATTGTTGCTCTTACTTGTGTTCGCTAAACTAGACGATTAGCCAGACTAGCCAGCTATTTTATTTGCCCGGTTAGAACTGGATTAAACTCAAATAATATAATTTGAAATGTAAAAGCTTTAAATCAAGTTATAAAGGAAATGAAGTTATTGGTTTGTAATATATTTATGACTGACGAATGCTGTTCTGAATTCTAGATTTTCGATTGGAATATATGCAATGTTTATATAAATGTAACAACAAATAGTGTCACTTATTAAGATGGAGCACATGCCAGATTGAATTTAAAATCACTTACATGTAGTTGCAATGCAACTCTGCTAATCAAATATCACATAAACTAAACTAAAATACAAGAGAAATGCGTGACCTTCCTCCGCTTATTGTATCAAATACACATAATGGTTTAGCAATAACTAAAATACTTTTAATTACCTCAATAATTTCAAATAAATTGCTACAGAGAACCTCTGACATATTAATGGTTCGGTATGATCATCAAACACTGCAAGCGACACGGCATCGATGCCTTATAATGATGCGAGACCCTGATGCGATCGCAACAACGCGGCCCGACCTTTTACACCCACTATTTGCCTTTTAATGGCTTACCAACTGTTTAACGGTAGATAAAATCGTATATGCATCAAATACTCTACGAAATGTTACTTGTATATGGTGAAACAGGGATGTTTTATAAAAGAAGTTCATACTAAGAACCCTCTAGCACTTATCAGAGTACAGCCTGACTTGTAATCGCCATAATATTCTTGCTTCAGTTATATGATATATAGAGCAGAAAGTATTTTGTTACGTAACTAATAATACCTTTTAAGATATCCAGTGCGAATAATAATTAAAATTGTCAGATTTTTTCTTTATTGAATAAATTTTTTATTTGTTTTTACGATTTACGCAAAACGATAAGCAGCTAACATAAAGATGGGCGCATTTGATAAAATGTTCCGCACATTTATTTTAGTGAAAGGGTCAGAAAAAACTTTGTACGCCGTGAACTTTACCGAGGGCATCTTATACTGATATTCTGCAACAGAGTGATATGCATTTTTAAAATATAATAAAGAAAAAAGGCGTTTGACAAATTATAGAAACTATATTTGAATTTCCGCAAGGGTTTTCTGACTTCAAATTAAGTTTGTATTTTTTAACAATTACATTTTTTTTTAATAATACAATTATTACTCATTTAATTTTAATAAATATATATGTGTGAAGTAACAAACTTTTTAAGTGTAGAATAAATTATAAATGTTATCATGTGACTCCTTTAAGAATACTCTTTAAATAAATCACCAAAATCGATCTTCAGTTGACAAAGATGTAGTAAACAAAAGCAAACAAAAAAAATCCTTCTTTTGAAGCCGGTTAAAACATTGTCTAAAAGATAATCAAGTAAAGGTGAGACACAAATAGCCTTTCGGCCATCACATTTAACAATAATATTCAATAGTTAACATACCGTAGCTGCCTACGCCGACAGAAGCTCCGCCATAACATTCTTGAACATTACGAATAAGTATAAAACGTCCGCTGTTACTCTTAGTATAATAGGCACCAATTGCAAGTGTCTTGTAACGCTTATGAACTGGCTGTATATGGACACCAGTACCGACCCCACCAGGACCGCCCGTAGTGATTCTCAAACCTCACAAAATACTACCACAGTCAAAATAGACAGCATATTTGTTATTATTAGTACGTGACCATAGCGACCGATCATTTAAATATGAATTTACGTCGAGAAAAAATTGCTACCACAGAAATTTAACGTCCTTAGCTTAAGTTAGTTGATTTGATTGCTTTTTCTAATATTAGACGGCGTTATTTGATACGATTATATATCATGTCAGTCGTAAACTTTTATTAAGGTAGCATTAACGAGATAAAAGAAAACGAGTAGACCGGAGGTGTCTACATCTTATCGTTTATTAGAAGGTTCGATATAATCTAAGGGATTAAGTTATAAACCTACTAAATACAACGCGGATGCAAAAAATATATACATTTTTTTATTAGAAATTGGCCTTTCCATACTAGTAATTAATTTAACAAGAGAATAAAACGCAAACACACACACACACACAAACGCGCGCGCGCGCGCTCGCACGCACACACACACCTGGTTCTTGCATGGTTAAGCTAATAATAATAATAAATCTTTATTTGGTGCAGTAAAATAAGTACAAAATCAATTGTTACACATTAATAGCTGCATTAGTCCAAGACTGTGTTGCAGATATTAGCGCCCACCTCGAACAGATAACAAACAAAAGCCACAAATAAAGCAAAAAAAAACAAAAATAAGAGCGACAAATAATTATACAATGCACTTAAATAATGAGAGTTTCCACATCATAATAATTTAGTTCTAGTAACCATTCATTTAAAATTTGTTTACAAACTCGAAATGGAAGACTATATATATTTAATTTATAATTAACCTTATTTATAATTCCTTAGAGAATAATTTTAAAATTTTAAAAGCCTTATTCATTTATTTTATCTCTCTTGTTATTTTTGTATTTAATGTCTTAGTATGCATAAGTTGGGGGCGAACTGCGCGGTGTTTGGCCTCCGGGCCGATCCCGCGCCTCGCCCACCATGAGAGGGACATCGCTGAGTTTTAGTGGGTAAACTTCTGTTTCTTGTCTAGCCCCCTTTTGGGGGTGGGGCCACAGGAGGAGTCCCACATCACCCGTGGAGCCCGCGCAGGGCGAAGCGGGTATGCGTAACGCATTTCTCAGCGTCAAAAAAAAAAAAGTATGCATAAGCCTAAATTTAATACTTAGAGAGCACTGACTCCTGACATACAGGGTAACCTAATTTGGGAGACAGGGCAAATTGATTTGTTACGCTATGTTGTTACTCAATAAAGAAATATTATTATTATTAAATTATCATCATCGGCCTATTAATGTTCCTACTTTAGGAGCATAGCCCTTCCTTATGAATGGAATCGAATAGTCTACGTCCACGTGGACATAATGCGTATTGGTGGTTGTTAACCACCACAGATGCACCAGAACTAACGGTTTAACATGTCTTCTGAGACACGAAGTAGTTCAAGATAATAAATTTTTGGTCACCCATCCTTTGACCGTCCTTTTCGAAAGTTGCTTATCGTAGATTGTACGTGCTAACCACTACGCCATCAAGCTCATACAAAATAATACTTCCTTACAAAAGACCCTTTATCGAATATTATTATATTTAGTTTCATTGAAATCCTCTTTTATTGGTTTGCATAAATGAACTCGGAATTTATTGAATACTAGCGGTTTTACAGCGATTTCGTCCGATTAATTGTAGTCTATAACTTCCGCGTATGATTTAGCTTCGAGTAGGTGAAAGAATGTTTTGATCTGATCACTGTTTCCAAACCCCCTACAAACATAATAGAAAACTATAATATTTATTTACGCTTTGCTACGATTTAATTTTGTAATATTTGACGAATTCTATCTTCTTTTTAAAATTCAACAACAAATTAAAACAAATTTAATATACATGGAAAAATTAAAGAAGGAGAATGTTTTGTATTATTAGAAGCTAGAGATAGATGTATATAAAACTAGCAAATGTGAACTGTAATAGACACATAAATAACCACTACTGGGTTTGAAGATGTTATCGGTGTTGCGATAGCTCATATTTTCCCATAATTTACATATGAATCATTTTCTCGGAATGCTGTGTAGGTGTTAGGAAGTAAATAATTGAACTTTTTAATTTACTAATCGTTTGATAGAATAATACAAACATTGTGACATTTTGAAATGATATTTGATAATTTATTACATGAAAAAAATAAATTATATACTCGGAATTTACGTAATTAGAAAATCTCACTAACCAATAGGGTTGATGCCTAGTTAAAAAAAATCAATTATCGTTAATAAGATAATACAAAAATATTTTGCATATTATTTTATTTCAAGTTAGAAATTATATGACAGGCATTTAAGTAGCGGAGTGCGGACTCACTACGCACAGCTATAGAAAATCTACAAATGCGTGAAGTTATGTGACATTTCAACTGAATGTATACGCTTAATTTATTGATTACACAAATAAAAGAAGTGTTTATTATTTTTCAATAGTGTACCTAACGAACGGAGTGTCCGTTAATATATTAGATATTGTATATGTTGAAAAATCCATCATCATCATTTAAAAATCAATTGCAGTTTGTTTGTCTCGCTAAAACTTGAGTACGGCTGGGTCGATTTAGCTTAACTGGTTTTAAAATGTTTGTCGTAGCCCAGGGAACTACAGTCCTTAACCATGGATAAAGAAGTCAAGAAAGATGACTTATTAAAAAATGTTATACAACTTTTATTTCGTCTCAAAACTTATAAACACACAAGGTATAATCATAATAAGAACGTAATTCATATATCGTTAAAACGACAATGCATTCTATTTTCAAATTCATAATTACATCTCGAAGCGTTCGTTTACTCTACTTTGGCACACCTAAAGTCATTGACATTCAGTTTGGACAGCTTCTAATGGAAGTGCCAAACTATATATTATAGTAAGAGAAAAAACCTGTTAGCTATCGACCATACAATCCCATTAGTATAATGAATACCGCATATGAAATCAATTGGTAATCATTCTATGTTTGTTGTCGTCGTGATGAATTGTTTTGAGCTCTGTGAATATTTAAAATAGGACCACCTCGTTTCATGCAATGGATCGTATTAGATAATTATAATAAAGATTCAGTTGAATCACAATTATTTAGATACAATTATTTATTTCTTAATATTTATGAATACAAAAAAACTCTTCAAACTAAAAATTAGAAATTCTTTTAGAATTAGGAAGTAAATTCGAGTTACTTTAAAACTTGAAAATTATTTAATG